ATTAGGGAGTATAGCACTGACCTTCAATAATTCATCGGCTTTGAGAAGATCTTTGGTCGATGGTTTTGAATTATAGATCCGGATAGAGCGGATAGTCCTCAAGTCGAGACCTCCTGCGGCGGGCGATGAAGACCTTCAGCAGGTACAGATTCGGTTGGCGTCGATGCACAAAGAAGCAAGCTTAACAGCTGAGTGCAATTGAAGTTGTAACAATCGATTCCGTGTTAGAAAATAGAAAAGGTTGTTGGTTGTATTAGTAGAATAAGTGATTTTAGTGAGATGTAATGTAGATGATGTGTTTTAGAGAAGAGTTGTTGTCTCTAGAAAAGTAGTATTGTATTGATGTTTCTTAGTTTTGCTTGGTATGCAAATGAGTACAATGACTCATATTTATAGGAACTAGATGATCATTCTAGATACTTATTAAATGTTATGATTCTAGAGTATTCTACATCTATGTCTAATTACTCTTCCTTGATGGATTTGTCGGTGACTTCAAACATTCTTCGCGGAAACTGGAATCTGTCTCTTGGCAGGGCCTTCGTGAAAATATCTGCCAATTGTTCTTCTGTTAGGCAATACTTCATCTCAATATGCCCCTTTGCTTGGACATCTCTCAAGAAGTGATACTTGATATCGATGTGCTTAGTACGATTGTGCTGAATTGGATTTTTAGCCATCGCAATAGCTGACTTGTTGTCGCAAAATATTTGAGTCGCAGAACTTTGCAATTCTCCCATGTCTTCTAATATTCTTTTTAGCCATATAGCTTGGCACGCTGCTCCGGCTGCTGCAACATACTCGGCTTCGGCTGAAGATAGTGCAACAGAATCTTGCTTCTTCGATCCCCATGAGAAAATTCCCGAACCCAGCTTAAATGCGTAACCAGAGGTGCTTTTCATGTCATCTTGAGATCCATCCCAATCACTGTCGCTATATCCAGTTAGTCGTGAGTCAGGAGTTGTTTTGTACCAAATACCATAATTGATGGTTCCTCGTAGATACCTAAGGAGTCTCTTTGCCGCTCCATAATGAGTCTCAGTTGGACTTTCCATGAACCTCGAGAGCAAACTTGTAGCATACATGATGTCCGGCCTCGTAGCCGTTAAGTAGAGTAGACTCCCAATCAAACTTCGGTAATTGGTTGCGTCCGTCTGCTTTGACCCGTCTTCTTTCTTCAATTTTTCATTAGGAACCAGTCGAGTAACGACGGCTTTGCAGTCTTGCATTTTAAACTTCTTTAGCATGTCCTTAATATATTTTTCTTGAGATAAGAATATGCCTTCTTCTTCTTAACTTATCTCCATGCCAAGGAAGTAGTGCATTAATCCCAAGTCACTCATCTCAAAAGTGTTCATCATGTCTCTCTTAAATTCTTCAATTAATTTGGAATTATTGCCCGTGACAATTATATCATCAACATATAGAGAGACGATGAGAATGTCAGATTTACCTTGGGATTTGATGTATAGTGTAGCCTCGTTCTTACTCCTCCTGAACCCTTGACGGGTGAAGTATCCATCAATCTTGCTATACCACGCTCGTGGATCTTGTTTGAGCCCGTAAAATGCTTTCTTTAGACGAAGAACTTTTCCTTCTTCTTTGATGAATCCTTCTGGTTGCTCCACATACACTTCTTCTCGTGGCTCTCCATTTAGAAAGGCTGACTTGACGTCTAGCTGATAAATTTTCCATTTCTTCTGAGCTGCAAGAGCTATGAGTGTTCTTATTGTGTCCATCCGGGCAACTGGTGCAAACGTCTCTGTGTAGTCAACTCCCGGTATTTGAGCATACCCCTTTGCAACCAACTTTGCCTTATGCTTCTGAATTGAGCCATCTGGGTTCAGTTTTGTTTTATACACCCATTTGACTCCAATAACCTCCTTGTTATGTGGAAGATCTACCATTTCCCAAGTATCATTCTTTTCTATCATTTTGATCTCCTCCTCCATTGCTTTAATCCACACTTTTTCTTTGGAGGCTTCGGTGTAGCTATATGGCTCCAAGGAGCAAAAGTTGTATGTTTCATAGATGTCAGTAGACTCATATAGGTCTTCTAGAGTTCTTACCCGAAGAGGTGGGGACTCTGGCGAGGAGTCGTGATTTCTTGATGTATTAGCTTCAAAAGAGGATCTTGGAGTAGACGTGGGGCTTTGTTGATCGTGATTTTCGTCTTCTGGTATTTCCTCTAGTTGGACAGTAGTTGTCTTTCTTTCAACTTTTTCTGTCTCCCAATTCCAAGAGGCTTGCTCGTCAAACTCCACATCTCGACTTGTCACCAACTTCTTTGTCTCGAGATTGTAGATTCGATATCCCTTGGATTTGGAGCTATAGCCAAGGAAGATGCCCTTCTCTGTCTTGTCTTCTAATTTGTGCCTTTTAACAGAGGGAACATGAATGTAGCATATGCTTCCGAAGACCTTCAAATGTTTGGTTGAAGGCTTTTGTCCCGACCATGCCTCAATAGGTGTTTTGTTTAAAACCGCCTTAGTTGGACATCAGTTTAGAAGATAGATTGAAGTATATACTGCCTCTACCCAGAACGTTTTAGGCATTCCTTTTTCAGCTAACATAGACCTTGACATCTCCATGATTGTGCGGTTCTTCCTTTCGGATACCCCATTTTGTTGTGGAGTGTATGCTACTGTTAGTTGATGCTCTACACCTTCATCTTCACAGAACTTTTCAAATTCTTTTGAGTTGTATTCGGTACCTCGATCGCTTCTCAACTTCTTGATTTGATGATCACTCTGTTTCTCCACGAAGTTCTTGAATCTCTTGAATATTCTAAAGACTTCAGATTTTTCTTGGAAAAAATACACCCATGTCATCCTAGAGTAATCATCGATGAAGAGTATGAAGTACCTGTTCCATCATCTTCTTTTGGTGTAGTAATCTCAAGGCATTGAGATTGAAGTGCCCAAATCTTCGATGCCATAGACTCGTATCACTCAGTTGAGCCACAATCGCCTTTTGTGGATATTGACATTGAATAGGAAAATTTCTATTATTTCCCATTTTTACTTCAGCAATTTCTTGATTATTATTCTTATCATAAATTCGGCAATAATTTTTCTCAAAGTGAAAGGCATATCCACTTTCCATCATTTGGCTAACACTTACTAGATTTTGTGCAAGGCGTGGCACTATGAGAACGTTTCTAATAAAGCGCGTACCTTTCTTTGTATCTATGACAATGGTACCTTTCCCCTTTGCCTCCACCAAATTGCCATTGTCCATCTTGACCTTTGTCTTGATAGAGGTGTCTAAGTCATGGAAGATGGTCTCGTTGGATGTCATGTGATTGTTGCACCCACTATCGATGTACCACTCTTCTTCTTTTGCTTCTATGGCTGAGTGACATGCGTAGAACATGTACTCCTTCTCCTTAAAATCTTCAGAATAGTTGGCCTGATAGTTTCTTCTATCTCTGCAATCTTTTTCTTCATGCCCGAACCTCTTGCAATTTCTGCATTGTGGCTTTCCTCGATGATAGTAATCTTTCTCTAAGTGATTAGTCTTCTTGCATATTTTGCAAGGTGGAAAGTTCGTCTTCCTCTCCTTGTTGTTAGAATTCCCATCTTTATGTGGTTTAAAATTTTCACCATTTCTCGAGTGATTCCTTTTAATGTTGAACTTAGACTCGAAGGCACTTTCTAATGAACTTTCGTGTCATCTGTTCAGCCTTTGCTCACGTGCTTCTAGCGACCCCATTAATTCAGTGATGGACATTTTTGATAGATCTTTTGACTCCTCAATAGCCGAAACTACTGGATCATATTTTTCAGGGAGACTGATTAGGACCTTCTGGATTATTCTCTCGTCAGTTATGTTTTCTCCAAGAGTTCTCATTTCGTTGACTATATGTATAACCCGAGAGAAATAATCTTTTTCCATTTCAGAATCTCTCATCTTTAAATTTTCGAGCTCTCTTCTTAAACTTTGTAATTTAATAGTTCTAACTTTCTCATTTCCTTGAAATTCCTCCTTAAGAATATCCCAAGCTTCTTTTGCCGTAGTAGCACGAATTATTCTCGGGAAAATAGTATCACAAACGGATTGTTGAAGAAGATAGAGAGCTCTAGCATTTTGCTGTTTTTGTTTCTTACGTACCTCGGAAGTTGATGCGTCGTCGCTTCCTTTTTCCCGCATGATGATTCCTTCTTCAACAATATCCCAGAGATCATGTGATTCTCGGCAAGTCTTCATACGGACACTCCAATAGTCATAGCTTTCTCCATTGAACATCGGAGTTGATACCGAGAAGCTTGATGTCGCCATAATGCCCGCTTATGACCGAACAAGCTCTGATACCACTTGTTAGAAAATAGAAAAGGTTGTTGGTTGTATGAGTAGAATAAGTGATTTTAGTGAGGTTTAATTTAGATGATGTGTTTTAGAGGAGAACTCTTGTCTCTAGAAAAGTAGTATTGTATTGATGTTTCTTGGTTTTGCTTGGTATGCAAATGAGTACAATGAGTCCTATTTATAGGAGCTAGAGGATCATTCTAGATCCTTATTAAATGCTATGATTCTAGAGTATTCTACATCTATGTCTAATTACTCTAGATTTTATATAAGAATTCTCTAGTAGAGAATTTTCTAGAATACTTTCTAGTTTTAACTCTCTAGATCATCTCTAACCTTTTCTACATAGAATATTCTAGATAAATGCATCACTATTTAATATTCAGCAACCAAGCGTCTGGAGAGTTCGGAGTGGGGGACTTGGCGTCTGGCCAATTTGGGCGTGGTAGTTGTCCTAGAGCGTAGCATAGCAGAAGTTAGACTGAAGAGGAAGGACAAAGTCTGGCGGCCACAACCTGTCGTGGAAGCGAGTGTATGTTCGTCCGGAGCCAAACTGAGTGGGCCGTCCAACTGAGAGGGGTGGTCAGCTGAAGGAGTGGCTGGTTGGTTGTGCTACCATCAGTGGAAAAGAAGAACGAGAGGCTTGGAAGAGAAAAATAGGATTAAAGCCTCGTGTGATAACGTGTTCTGGGTAGAATTGTTCGTAGAGTTTCATTACTGAAAGTCCCTATAAATAAAGCCCCTATAAATAGGGATAGAGTAGAGTTTACGAGTACGAGCCAATATGCCATAATACATCATTTACATAGAAAAACCCTAATACATATTCTATCTAAAGGATAGAACACGATATAAAATGTCCTTCAACACGAGGAGTATTTTTTATCATTAACTTTCATTTTTCTACTAAGTGATCGATAATAGATATTTTGAAACTTCATATTTCCATCCATCAATAGGTGAAAAGATATCGGGAAGAATACAAGAGACAAAATATCAACAGCTACCGATTAAGGTAGAAAAATAAAAGTGAAAGATAAAAAGCCAGATTTGTTTTAATTAATAATAGGGGGCTAAAAACGGAATTAAATCCATCACACAAGAAAAGGACAACGCAGCGCTAAATGTCACCTGCCGGCGGCCGGCGGCAGCATGCTATTTGAATGTAATCGAGCGGGTGAGGCCGAGGGAGTGAAATAAGACGGCGAAGTGCACGGAGTACAGAACGGCGTCGTTTCTACATCCACACGGCTATCATCGTCATTTGCGCGGACAACCTGCGGTTCCATGTCAAAACATTGCTCCAAACTCCTCCCGCCGTCTTCACCATTCTTTAATATCCGTTTCGGCCGACCCTTCTCCGCCGAGTTTGAACACACCGATTCCAAGTCTTCCTTTTCTTCTTCCTTGATCGTAAACAGAATCTTTGAGGGGCCGTGAAGGCCTCCGGAAAGCTTCAGCAGGTCGACGAGATCCATCTCCGGTGGCTCAGGGGTAGGCCCGGTCGAGTCGTGGAGACTCATCGGGGTGGCGCTGGGTTCAACCCTGGAGGCGTGCGTGTCAGTCCTGAGGCAGAAAAACAAGAAAAGCTCTTTCGAAGCCGATGAAGATGTAGGGGCTCGTTCAGCATCGCCGGTGACTGGAAGTTCGGTACGGCGGCGGTGGCGGCGGTGGCAGAGAACAAGAATGAGCTGAGCAAAGAGAGCTAAAAGAAAGGCTACAAAGACTACGGATAGTGCCGTGCCTAGTTTGGTCACACCAACAGCCATGTCTGAGCTTTACTGACGGTGGCGTTGGGAGACTTCCATTAAAGAGGTTGGGAGTTTTTTGGAGTCGTCACTGAGAAGTCGATTCCTCTTTCCAACGGATAAATTTCTTTGAAAAAGACGAAGCAAAAGCGTGCAGGAAAGAGAAAGACAATGACATATGGTACATAGGGGACTATTTTCATTCTACTTCCTTCCCAAAAAACGTTCCAAATTTGACCTCTTCTTAGTCAAACAGTCTTGTTTTGTTCACTTAATTACGATTTTTTTAATTATATTCTAATTTGGAATTTATAACTTTGAAGAGATTTTAATGTAGTTTTTAAATATATAAATTCTATTTATTAAAAATTGAATTAATTATCCATACACATGATTGACTTTTATTATTGATTGATCAAAAATTGTTGACTTTGCAAAACAAATTGGGACGTAGGAAGTACTTGAGTTATTTATTGATATATTAAAAATGAAGAGTAAAGACAATATAAAATTTGTTTATATACATTGCAAGTTTTTCAGTTTGATTAACAATTTAGCAGTTTAAAACCAAACAAAATCATTCGTTTAAACCAATTGTTTTCAAATGATTTACTTATCTCAAATCAAACCGCCTAGCACTAAATTGTCAAAAGGAAAGATATTCAAAGAATATTTTATTATTCGTTTGCATGGTGATCAATATGTGGTGGACGCATGCCATATATACACTTGTGCCAATAGAGAAACGTACGTACAAGGAGAATAGAAGGAAGGTTATTAAACATCTAGATCCTAAGCATAATGATGATCACAAATGCCCATCTTGGCAAGTAGATGAGAAAATTGTTGGGTGCCAAGTGCTTTAGTGAGAAGATCCACGAGCTGTTCAGTAGATGGTGTATATGAGGGAGAAATTGTTGGAAAAATGTGTTAAAAATTGCATTAAATGGTCATTTTGGGGCAATTATTTGAGTGGGGTCCACTTCCGATTTGGGTCGGGTCAGTGGTTTCGGATTGTCCTTGTTAAGGGCTACAATTCGATATATGGTACGCTCAAAACGGATAACGGGTGAATGAGAAATTGATTCTCGAAATTCACTCGTTGAAATGGAAAAACTGGGGAAAATGATGAGTTTCTAGTGTGTTTTATCCCACACCGAAAAACTCAAGGGATTTTCACCCCCTTATAAAGGGAAGCCTCTTTTAAGGAGTTAAGATTCCTAAAGGGAAAAGCTCTCTCTTACGCGCAGGTGGGGGGGGGGGGGGGGGGTGCCGATCAAATCTCCGAAACGGAGAAGAAAAACCGCGACTCGTGTGCGCGGGCGACATGCGGACACGAATGCCGTCCAAAAATCTATCTCTCAAGAGATACGGTTAATTTTTGTTTTCTTCCCGATACGGTTAATTTTTTCCCAGAAGTGCTCCGGACAGAAGGCCTCGAACAGAACCCCTCGAAGGGGTGTTCTGCTGGCTTCGAACAGAAACCCTCCGAGGGGAGTTCTGTTGGCTTCGGACAGAAACCCTCCGAGGGGAGTTCTGTTGGCTTCGGACAGAAACCCTCCGAGGGGAGTTCTGTTGGCTTCGGACAGAACCCCTCCGAGGGGAGTTCTGTTGGCTTCGGACAGAACCCCTCCAAGGGGTGTTCTGTTGGCTTCGGACAGAACCCCTCCAAGGGGTGTTCTGTTGGGGTCTTCTGCCGCGCACTTCTTCCGTTACAACAATTAATGCCCAACGTTCTTATCTTTTAATGCTGCGTTAAATGGACAGTTTATGGACGATTCAATGCCCAACGGACTGGTCATTGATGTCCAACGTTCAGGTCCATTAACACCCCATTTAACACACAACAAATCCTCCTATAAATAGCTGGCAGGTGCTTTGCAACAAACACACGGTTTGACAACGCACATCACTTTTCTCACGTTTTCTTGAGCTAAAAACTCTTCCAGCTACTCCCAAAATTCCTTCTGTGTTCATACTTGGTTCTCGTTCGCTGGAACTCTTGTTTGTGTGCTCAAACATTAGTTCGTAGTCATCGTATCCTGGGAAACGATTGTTGCAACGCTCCTAGCACCGTGGGAGGCAACAAATACGTTTTAAGGAAATCGTGCGTAGCACGAGCTTTGGCTAATTCTGCTTCATCTCCTTTCTTGTTTTTCTCTAGTCATTTTATTTAATTAATTTACTTTAATTAATTTTCTTTATTTTCCGAAACACACCCAACAGAAATTGTCCCGGTCTGAATATGATCCCGTACAAAATGACAATCAAGTTCGATGTTTGGTGCGTTCATGGTATACCTGATTGGAGGCAATGTGAAGGCCCGCTTGATTGTCACAGTAGAGACGTACCGGATTGGAATGTGTTACACCTAATGACCAAAGTAAGTTGCGTAGCCAAATAAGCTCACATGTTACCGTTGCCATGGCTCCGTATTCCACCTCTGCTGAAGACCGGGAAATAGTTGCTTGCTTTTTCGTATGCCAAGATATGGGAGAATCCCCAAGAGAAACAAAGTATCGAGTTACAGAACGACGTGTGACCGGGCAGGTCGCCCAATCGGCATCACAATATCCTGAGAGAGAGAGAGAGGAGAATCGGAGCGTAACAGAATGCCTTGGCCCGGGTGACCCTTCAAATATTTCAACACACGTAGTACTGCGTCCCAGTTAGCAGGGGCGGATTGGGCCTACGGCCAGGAAGGGCCTAGGCCCATGCTCAATCTTTTATAACTAGTATGTAGTATATAGGTTTAAAATCAGGCCCAATCTAAATTTTTAAAAAAATCAGGCCCGGTCCAAGTTATTAGTCCAAAAAGCAGGCAACTTCGGCCAGAGTGAGCAGTCCGCTTCTTCCTTTCTTTCTTGTTCGGCGACTTCGGCAAAACCAACGATTGCCGCAAAACCCCAAAGGCCAGAAACGGCGACTTCAGCCATCTTCAGTCGCTGCCAAACAGACACTCAGCCAGGACGGCGCACGGTGGCTCAGGCGACAGGCGCTCAGCACTCGAGTCTCAGACGGCTCATGGCTCAGTCCTAAGCAGGGGCGGATTGGGCAGCTCCCAAGTGGGTATTTTTTTAAAATCTTTTAATTTTGTTGTGTTTTTAATTCAAGTTAATGACTAAATTACAGCTTTGCTTGATATGAATTTGATTATTATTTCTAAACTTGTAAATCGTTTATAGTATGAATTTGCTTGTGACTCTGATGACTTATTTTATCTGTTTAATCTTCTTTTTATTTTGTTTATCAAATTTCCCTAGCAAACTAGCAAGCAGAACATGGATTTAGGTGGTAAATCCATTGTTATATCAGACCCTCTGCTAATCTGTTTTCATATCCTACTATTTATTGTACTTCTTATTTCATTACTTGGTTTGGGATGCAGGGAGTTCTCATTAGTTAGGCTCTTCAAGTAATTATTGTGGGAAAGGAAGGGATAAAATGATATCATTATCAAACGATATCAATCGATGAAAACCCGTATAGAACAATTGTAAAATTATGATGTTTTTGTATTTGACTTTAATGAAAACTCTTATTCCTATAATCTTTATTTTTGTCTTTGACTTTGTTGGTAGAATAAATGTTTTTTTGAATATTCGTTTTTAATTAAATTTTGGCTCCACCTGGATGCCAAAGCTAGATCCGCCCCTGCCAGTTAGCCACCCTTGGACGTTGCATGAATTGGGAAAGGATGTGAACGGAGTAGCTAATATCGGGTCTAGTTAAAGTGAGATAAATGAGTTTCCCAACCAGCCTTCTATACCGTTCCGGATCCGAAAAATAAGGTCCATTATTAGACTGTAGTCCGTGATTTTGTACCATTGGAAAACTAACCGGCTTTGTACCGGTCAACCCCGTTTCAGCCAAAATGTCAAGCACATATTTACGTTGGCATAGAAAAATTCTGGTGGAATTACAGGCAACCTCTATTCCCAGAAAATATTTCATAACCCCCAAATCTTTTACTGGGAATGAGATCGCAAGATAGCTTTTAAATTCCTGGATCATGTGCTTGTCGTTTCCGGTAATAAGCAAGTCATCCACATCAACCAATACATATAGTATCCGATTTTCTTTTCGCAAAGTAAAGAGTGAATAATCGGCATGTGATTGACGGAACCCATAAACTCGCAAGGAGGTGCTAAGTTTGGAGAACCAGCACCGTGGTGCCTGTCGATGCCCATAAAGGGAGCGAAGCAAGCGACATACCTTGCCCGAAGAGGAGGCTGAATACCCCGGATGCAAGTGCATATAAACTTCTTCACGAAGACCCTCATGTAGGAATGCATTATCGACGTTCATATGGTGTAGTTCCCAATGACAAGTGGCAGCTACCGCCAAGATGGTACGAACCGTCACCATTTTGGCAACTGGGGCAAAGGTCTCGTTTTTTCAGAACCTGGTAGGCAAACTACCAAAATCAGTGGAGTAAACGTCGGGGAACGTTTACCGGATATTATAAAAAATAAGGAGAAACAATACAAAGAAGAGGGGGACTAAACCAATACCACTCCTGGGCGGCATACCATCCAAAAAATTAAAAAAAGCATCTAAAAGAAGGAAACCCAAATAAATCTCTAAAATAAGTTTGACGGGCCTGCAAAGGAAGTTCATTGGGCTCAAAATAAGAATGCGTCTGGGCCGAGGAAGAAAGAGCCAAATAATGTGTGGTCCAGTTGCTTTCACGCCACAAATGTCCGAACCGAATCCCTTTTCTTAAACCACACAACCTCATTTCTTGAAGCAAATCTTTCCATCGATCATCACCTACCTGAAGCAACAAGGAGATGACTGTCGCATCATCAGTTTCAACTTCGAAATCAGAGTAGCCGGCCTCCAACGCCCGACGAGTGGCCTTCACGACATCCAAAAACTCCGCTTCTAATCTCGAAGAAGCTTCAATCGGGAAAGAAATAGTTGCGACCAACTCTCTGTTCTGATTCCTCAAAATCGCTCCGCCTCCAGATTTTCCAGGTAAATAAGATGCATCAGTATTTAGCTTAAAATGATGTTTAGGTTTATTCCACTTGATGGCCTTAAACTGAGTACCGGTGGTTTTAAAATTCGCAGGAATCAATTTTTCCTCAAATAAGACCTCACCAATAGACCGAACCTTAAGATTAGAGAAACTAGAAGCCCACGCCTGCGT